AGATGACCTTTCAATGTAAGTTTGGTAAGGTTTTAGTTTTTTTTTAAATTACAACATAATTTATGAAATAATCACTATTGAATTTATTTTCTTTATTTTCAGGTTCACAAACATTGAAGCCACTCAAGTAATATCATCGGCGTTTAAATCGTCGATGGAGATTCCATTATTTCAATGGAGTCAGATATCCAAGCATCCTGAATAGATGCCTTAAATCAATGCATGGTTTAACAGGTTGGAGGTTGGTATTAATTTATAATTTTTAGCTTATTAATATAATTGTAAATAAATTATTATTTTTATTTAAACTTGTTCATTTATACACAGTACAAATTCTGCTGGGACAGTGAGCATAACACTATTGTGAGGAGGGTGCGGGAAAATCATGTGACAACTAGGTAAGATCGAAAACAATACAAGATTTTTTTAGATAAAAATTTATTTTTTGAAATGTAATTTTTGGTTGCATGAAGTAGGTTGCGTGATTTTTCGTATGAAGCACAAAAAAAAGCAAAAAAAGCCGTGAGGGATAGGGGTTTCCAAGGTTGGAACGATGTTGCGGTTTGGAGGGATTTCAAACTGATATACATCCCAGAAGATATATGGTTGCACTATATTGAGCACATGACGTCTGAGCAAGTCACACAACGCTCACGGTCTAGTGCTGTCAACTGGAATCGGCCAATTCATGGCAGGGTGACAACATACACTGGGAGCTCCGTTCCATTTACTGCACATGCAAAACAGATGGTAAGATTAATTTAAATGAAATATATTGTTAAATTTAGTTGTTGTTAATATATCTTTTTTCATTATAGGCTGCGTCTCTTGGATGTGAGCCGAGCCTGATGGAGCTCTTTACGGAGACACACGTGCAGAGTTAAGACTGGCAGAAGGGGGTGCAATAGCTCATTGATAATTGTGCTCAACATTTCATGGTATGTTTGTTCAACCATTTTATTTTATAAGTTATTATGTTTATTGAATTGAATATGATGATTACTTTTTTATTTTTATTTTCAGGAGACCTATAATAATTGATTGAGGGAGAGATACAAGGACGATATTTTGAACCATCCAAAATTCGATCCAGATTTATGGATAGAGGTTGGCTCATCAGGTGGACCCAATAAAAATTGGGTTTACGGGCTCTCCAACAGTATAGCCGACAACTTGCGGTCGATCTGTAGTGTTTCAACCATTGGGAGCTCCAAATCTAAGGCGCTCGAGGCCTAGCAGCAACACACGGCTCAGCTCACCGAGAAATACGACCACCTATCAGCGGAGTACGCGTAACTCAAAACATCTCAAGCACAACAAAAGGTGGAGTATGAACAACAAAATGTGGCTTATGAATAACTTTGTAAAATGGTTATGAACATGGCAAATAGTGGATTATGTGCACCTAATCCTTTTTTGCCGTAAAACCACCAGCCTCCTCTAGGATCTCCTCCTCCTCCTCTAGCTCCACCTTCATATTAATTTCTAATAAACATTATTTAACTTTAAAACTTCATTTAATATTTTTTTTGAAACATATTCAGTTTGTAATGAATATTATTTGACTTTGTTTTTTTTTTTGTTTAATATAAATTTCATTTGCATAATTGGTTTGTATTACAATTAATTTATATAGCTTTATATTATATGTCCTAAATAATTTTTTAAAAACAAATTTAACAGTAGCTACCACATGATTAGTACTTAAAAGTGTATTTTTATCAAGGTTTTATATCATCATTTTCCACTTGAAGTATCAATAACTCTTTAACTAGAGCATATTTTATAATAACGTATCTAATAATATAAGATACCTTTAATTTCTGGTGAATATTCATGTTAAATATAGGCCTATCATATAAATAAAATAATTAACTGATGACTTTAAGAACTGAAATTGAAAGGATAAAGAGATGGCCAAACTTAGAAAAGAGATGCCAGTGCAGTCCAAACCAGAACACTGCTCTGTAATTCGGTCATATCTGGAGCTGTAGATCTCAGATTTAGGTCTACTTTATATGGATGGAAAGGTAAGACATAGACATACAACTTTTATATGAGCCCAAGATCTAAAAAGACCATTTTCAAGTCTAAATTGGAGCAATAACAAAGAAGTCTGAATTTGTCTTCGAGCCCGAACACTGTTCAGTATTTGACCCATATCTAGCGTTCTAGAAGTTCAAATGATCTGACACAATAAAGCTGAGACAATTTCCTACAACTTTCATGTGCAAGTGGTTCCAGTTTTGATGTTATCAATGACATTTTGGGTAGACAAGAGAAGATAAGGATTACTGTCAAGTCAAGAGTTGGTCACCTACTCATCAATTAGTCATCAAATCAATAGTTTCTAATTTTGACCTATAAAATGAGGTATTTGCCATGCATTTAGGCATCTTTATTTTCATATCAAGATTATGCTTTTGCTTTTTCTCTTTGTATTTTTTGTAATGTTTATGCTTTGCTTTAATTAATATCAAGTTTACGCTTTTCATTTCCTTTCATTTACTTAGTTAACTTTTATCTTATTTATCTTCTTATTTTGTTTATTTATTTTTCTTTCTTTCATTATGTTTAGCTAAGTTTATTATATCAAGGTGAAAAGGTTACACTAATGGTGTAAGAATAAGTATAGTGTAAGCTTAATATGGACTTTAATGTTTGATACTAACATGTTTTGTATTTGTTATCTTATTCACTCTTTAATACTTTGCTTGTTAAATGACTAATCATGATTTATGTTGTATAACACTTGGTACAACAAATACTTGGCACTCTCATAGCCCATATTGTATGATATAACTGATACCTGAGCTATGAAAGGAACTTGATTTGTTGTTAACATATGTTATAATCATGAATGCTTAACGAGATTTACAAGTATTAGCATTAATCGAATAAGATGACTAATGTAATCATGTTAACAATCTATAATTCGATTGGAACCTTCTTTGTGTGTGGTTTCCAATTGAATAATAAGAGTTTATATTATACTTGTTTGACATACCATTAGTAGAACCTCTAACCTTTACATTTGTTATTATCATTATTTAATCCTTAAATTAATATTTCATCTCGAAGTTCCCATCTTCTTGTTTTTCTTCTCCTTCTTTTTCTTTATTATTATTATTATTATTATTATTATTGCTACTACGACTACTACTACTACTACTATTGTTGTTATTGTTGTTGTTGTTGTTATTGTTGTTGTTCTTGTTATATATAATTTATACATTTAACCTTCTTGTGGTTCGATCCTGGTCTTACTGGGTTATTTATTACTTCGACACTCCTGCACTTGGGAGAAGACATGAATCTTTTAGTCATGTCACCACACTTATTGAAGAATTTACAGACAGATTTATTCGGTCGGTATTTCATACACTCACCGACAGCCTTGCCAACAATTAGTTTCCATCGGTAAATCACGATATCACCGACATAATACAAATTTGTCGGTATATTTGAAGTAGGAATTTTTTTTTGGTGCACAAATTCGGTCTGTAAAACCATTGGCAGATGATTTTTTTTTACCGACCGATATAGCGATGAAATGTTGAATCACTATCAAAAGGTAACCCGACGGATATAATTCATCGGTGATGACATCGGTAAAAAAATCATCGACGAACTTCTAATCACACACCGATGGATTCATTCGAAAATGGGCATGCAAAATGGAACAAATAATACTTATATTCATGTATTCAAGTGAAACTTGCAAATGGTATAGAATATAGAGAAAAGGTTACCTGGTGACTTGTGAATCCCATCCAGAAATATTTGACAAGTTAGCTCTCCAGCTTGAAACCTTTTCCATCTTCCATTTAAAATTTATTTCAAGCACAGCAAATGCATTTCCAAAACTCCCTCTCTGTTCATCTACTTTGTATGGGTCTACATGATAAAAAAAACTGGTAAAACAATCTGCCCACATGTTCTATTGCATTCTAGTATCTTCTGTTGGGATATTGTCATTAATGGACAACAACTTTGCAACATATCCTAAGAAATAGGGTTACCATTGTCAAAAGGCTATAATAGTAGTTGCACCAACCATTGACAAAAATGATGCAACTCATTCATGTTAGCATTTATGCCATGATTTATAGCCTCTTGTCTGCTATTGAATTTTTTTATAAATAGAGGTATTATTTGAGAGCAAGAGAGAGAGAGAGAGTGAGAATGAAGAGAAGAGAAAAAGAGAGAAAGAGGAGCTGTCAAGGGTAGCAGCCCTACTGTAATGTGCAGCTGTGTGTGAGAGCAATGGGAGTAGAGTTTGAGTGAAGTGATCTTCCTCCTTTATTTGTGTTGTAACTCTTTCTCTATTTTTTTCTAATAATATTAGTTATTTTCTCATGGATATAGACAGTTTGCTGAACGATGTTAAATATTATGTGCTAGTATATTTAGCTTTCTATAATCAACTATCAGAACATCACCGGTCCGAACTTCCAACATCTTCGTAAGTTCATCCACACACCACAGAGAAGATGGATAGGTTTTTGAGAATATCACTACGGGAATTCTTCACTCTTCAATTGTTCTCAACAGTGTAGGTTCAATTTCTTCACCCATTACAAGATCATTATCTGTGAAAGTCTAGATTTGTTTACGACATAAGGCATCGTAGAGATGGCTGGTAAATTGTCACGGGTATCCGTGCCTCTAAAACTGAGGAATACATCATACTTCCGTTGTTGAGCAGTTGTAGAAGAAGATGCCATATCCGACATTCACTAGCTTGTGCAGAAAATCACTTGAAATTAGAAGATCATAGATACTCTCTTTTTCACTTGGTAAAGAAAAATTAAGGATATAAATCACAGCAGATAACACTAAACAACAGTCGAGAATTTTAAGAGAAGGACAAATCACTAAACTCTTTAAACACTAAACGCTGAAACCCACCTTACAAATATCAAGGATTCAAAAATTTGTTCACAAAAAAATCACTAGATCCTTCCACGCCAAAATGCCGACAAAATGGGAATACTTGAAGTTTGTTAATGGACTAGAAAGTTAGAAACCATGCTCAAATGTAGGCTTATGCTCAATCATTTGATAAGAAAATAATTTTTTTACTTCAATTTCAGCAAATAAATCTTTCATTCAGCTAGACTCAAAGGGAAACCGTAAGACTTGGAGTTTTACAGTACGCTTCATTTATCAAATAAACATGCAATCTCAATCAAGAAACCCAGAGAGAGTTGATGATTGAAATAAAGAAACAAACAAAAACAGACCCAATTCTCAAACCTTAAACTAATGGTAGCATCAATTTGAATACTATAAAGTGGAAAGAAGAAAAGAGTTTGGACTTACAGAGTGGATACAGGAAAGACAGGAAGAGGGGTCCGGCAGCAACTTTCTTGTTTGATGTTTCAGTCAGCCAAGAAACCATAGAAGAAAAACTACACTGATTCTTGTTTCCAACAAGAGACCGAGAACGTCACAAGATGATCTTTTCCATGGGAAATGGATAAGCAAAGAAGACTCGGGGGAGTCGAATGTCAAGGCCTCGTGCTTTCCTATCACTGAGGACGCATTAAATTTGGAACGGAACGGCAATGTTGGGGCTAAAAGGGAAGACAATTCCTAACTATTGGTCAAGTAGTTTACTGGCGAAGGAGACATATCTTTAAATTTTTTTAAAATAATTTGTATAAAATTTAATTTTTTATAATATATCTTATTATTTTCAGATTATTCAAAAACAATATTATCATTTGTTAAAATATATATGTACTCAGAAATATTTTTTAAATCTGAAAAAAACTGTCAAATGTCATTGATCTCTCTCTTAACTAAAACTTTCACGCTATTAATATCTCAACAAATTATTTAATTTAATATAATCTAGAGTCAAATTTAATAATACAATTATAAAATTATATTATTAATTGATTTTTTTAATTTAAAACATCAAAGATTAACTTAAAATAATAATTAATAATCAAAATAATGACCAATTGTCTTATGTCAAAATAAAGAGAATATTTTGTATTTAAAAAATTAATTTTTTTTATTTTTTTCAAATTATTTTTTATTTTCAAATTGTTTTGACATGCTAATATTAAAAAATAATTTTTTTAAAAAAATATATTATTTCAATACATTTCTAAATAAAAAATATTTTAAAAAATATTTGTTATCATACTCACGAAAAAGACCCTAGACTATTTGCTTAAAATATTAAAATATTTATATGTTTAATCTTAGAAATATTTATTTAAAAAATTAAATTATTTCAATACACTTATAAACAAAAGTTATTTTAAAAAACAACTTTTACTACTTTTGCAACCTTTATTGTTTATTTGAAATTTTTATATGTTTAAATAAAAAATATTTATTTATGATAAACATTTTATCAGAAATATTTTCTTAAAATTGATTATATGCTTTTAAAAATTTAAAATTTCAAAATTATTTAAGAATAAAAAAATTTAGAAACAAAAAGAATACATTAATCTTAGATTAGTACATGAAATGAACACCATCACTAATAAAAATAAATAAAAGAAAAACTAACCATTTAGATGGTAACTCAGTAATAAAAATTTGAAATAAAAAAATTTGTTTTTTTCTGTAGTTTTAAATTTGAGTCTCGTGATTGCTTATATAATGACTATTAAAAATTTATATGTTTATTAAATTCAAAATTTATAAAATTAAAAAATAATTTTTATCACACTCTCAAAAGCTGGTACAAACATCATGTTAAATTAAAAAAAAAAAAACTAAATGTAACATTAAAATTTTATTCTTGGACTCGGCAGCACTTCGCACCGCTATATCCTTGTTAAAATAATTATTAAATTATTTCAACCGTGAAACCCAAGTTTCATATTAATTATGCCTTCTCTTTTTTCTCCGGCGAACAACAACGCCAAAATAATCCTCCCATCTCATGTCAAGGTCATAGAACCTTTCTCTCTTGGCTTGGTGCATTGCTTCCAATCCATCATTCGCATGCAGTAGACGGACCCCACACTCAACTACTTGACAAAGATCTAATGGTAAGAGATTACCGTCCATATCTTCTAGTTGGAATTCAACTGAGACCTCACTGTATATCCTAAACATATCTTTTTCTTTGGCAACCAAACAGGGATCAAATCTCATAACTATGTTTTCCGAGTTGATGCGCCTCTCCTCAAACTCATTATGGAGATAGCAATAGAGATCATGGCTATCACCGTGCTCATTGCGGAAGTGATATGTGCATTTAACTTGCAACTCAAAGTCGAAAGAATAAAATGCAATGACAGCGCAAAGACAGAAACCCAAAAACTCGCTATTAGCCGATAGCTGGAATGTTACTGTAGATCCCCAGCTTTGATGGCTAAACCACTCCGGAGTTACATCTTCAGGGAGGCAAGAGCTAGGTATCCTTTTTGAGAAATTGGGCTCCTGTTAACACAATTAAAATGACATCTTTTTAAAATGAGACGAAGAAAAGAAAAAAGTATATCAGAGGTCTGAGAAACAGACCTGAAGGTATGCCAAGAATTCAGAGGTCCTATGCATGACAGAATAATCCCGTCTCATGCCTTGGGACCTTGCTCTCTTGGCTTGGAACCTTGCTTCCAATCCATCTCGATCCAGAGGATGAAAACGAGAGAAGCCTGGCATGATCAAATCAAACTGATGTATCCCATCTTCATAGAGTAGACGGACCCCACACTCGAGTACTTGACAAAGATCTAATGGTAAGAAATTGCCGTTCATATCTTCCAGTTGGAATTTAACTGAGACCTCATTATATTCACTAAACATGTCTTTTCTTTTGGCATCTAAACAGGGATCAAATCCCACAAATATGTGATCTGAGCTAATGAGCTTCTCATCATACCAACCATGGAGATAGCAATAGAAATCATGACTATCACCATGCTCATTGTGGAAGTGATATGTGCATTTAACTTGCAAACTATGGTTGAAAGAATCAAATGCAATGACAGCGCAAAGAGAGAAACCTAAGAACTTGCTATTAGCCCAATATGAAGATAACTGGAATGTTACTGTAGATCCCCAACTTTGATGGCTAAACCACTTCGGAGTCACAACTCCAGGAAGGCAGAAACTACATGCCCTTTCTGGAACATCGGACAGCTGTTAACACAATTCAAATAGCATCGTTTTAAAATGAAAGGTGGCAAATAGAGGAAAAAAAGATGTATATCAGAGGTTTGAGAAACAGACCTGATGGTATAACCTTTTGGTATAAAGTTGAAATTTCAATAATGAGTACGCCAAGATTTGATTGGTCTCAAGCAACCTCATGCAATTACTGAAAATGAATTCAAAAATGTTCCCCTCAACTACAGTTGATGAGCTTGATTCTAGATAATTCAAACTCTCGCAATTGTCTGCATCCAACTTTGATAGCTGTGGTGGAAGCTCCGGTAATGATTCAAGTCTCTTGCAATTCCTTAATCCTAGATATTGTAACTCCAAGAGTTTGTTGATGCTTATAGGTATAGTCTTAAAATCGTTTCCACTTAGATCTAACACTTCCAGTGACGATAAACGATCAAGACTGTCCGGCACTTCCGATAGACTGCAACCATCTAGATTTAGCTTACGCAAACAATCTAAATCCACGCATCTCTTGGGCAGTTGCAAGTCAACAAAACATTCGATGTCATTTAGATATTTGCAGTTTCCCACTTCCAAGCACGCAAGTCCCTTCAGATTTCCAATCGGTGAAGGCAACTTTGTTATGCGTGTCTGTTCTAAATAGAGATATCTCAAAAATACCATCGGCTCCAAAACTTCTGGAAAATTCCTAAATTGGAGGCAACCTGAGAGATTAAGCCTCTCCAGTTTTCTCAACTTGCAGATGCTGCTTGGAAGAATCTCAAATTGTTTGCAGTTTCGCAGGTGCAATTCAGCAAGATCAAACAAACATTCTATTGAAGAGGGAATCTCTCGTATTGCAGTCCCATTTAAATACAGCTCCTTTATAGCATTGGAAACCTTTGGAAACTCCGTGATACTTGAGCAACCGGAAAGATCAAGTTTTTTAAGGCATCTCAACTTAGAAACCGCACTTGGCAGATTCTTTAGCCAGTTGCAGCCAACTAGATCTAAATAAATGAGTTCCCTTAGACCACCAATTGAAGATGGCAGTTCTTCTATTGCAGTTCCATTCAAGTACAAGTATCTTATATTCCTCGAAAAATCAGGAAGCCTGCTGATAGATGAGCAGCCAGAGAAGTCAGCAATTTGAAGAGATTTCAACAAATATATGTTTTCTGGAAGATTAACCAGGTGTTTGCAGTTTTTCAAATTCAACGCAACAAGTCCACTTTTTTCCCCAATTGATTGGGGAAGCTCTTCAACAGCAGTCTCATTTAAATTTAAATATGTCAGTTTCCTTGCAGTCTCTGGGCACTTCTTGATATTTGAACAACCAGAAAGGTTCAGAGTCTCCAGAAAACTTGAATTAAATCTACTGGGAAGATTGATTAGTCTTTTGCAGCCTCTCAAATCTAAATCATTAAGCTTGTCAAGATGCTGTATAGATGAAGGAACCTTATCCAAACTTGTACAGAATTGAAGATTCAATCTCTCAAGGTTTCTGGCCGTTGAAAGGTCTGGCAGGGAAGTTATGTGTTCACAATTGCTGAGGTTGACATCTTTTAAATTGACGAGATCCTGAAGCCAAATGGAATCAACAAAAAGAAATTGCATGTGCATACCACTCTAAATTTCAAAGAAAGAACTATGCATGCAGAGTTATTTTAGAATACCTGTTGTCCTCTCCACAGTTGCTTAACCTTGCTAGATGACAGGCTAAGTTCAACAAGGTTCTGTGGACAAAACATGCTAGGCAAAGATGTCAAAGGGTATCCATCCCAATGGAGATACCTCAACTCTTCAGAAAGATACTCGAGGCCATGAGGAAGGTGCACTCTGCATTTAACTCCAGCTTCAGAATTATAAATTTTTAGCAGTCTAAGTTTATACATCCTTTCCAAGGCTGTAGAACTCAACTCAATTTCTCTTATTTTAGTAACATCCAAGAATATCCCTTCAACTTTTCCAGTTCCCTGAAAACCAGTGAAGGAGAAACAAAGTTTTAAGTAAGATTTTAAACTTACTAGCACAACCATATCGCATTGCATATGAAAAGGAAAACTTTCGTGTATATGAATCTCACCAGATTATTGGTCAACACTTGATATACATCTTTAGGACTCCACAATCTACTCTGTCTTCCTAGCTCGTCAAGAGATTCTTTTCGAACAACTTCATGGGCCATTTCTTGCAAAAGATCATGCATTTCAATCTTGTCATCTGAAATTTTAATGAGGCACCTGTCAATGAGAACACTAAATCCAATATCTGTTTTGAAACCGCAGCCATCTAGTATTCGCTTTACAAAATCAACTCGATGCCCTCTAAAGAAACATGCAATGTCGAGAAATATACTCTTCGTGTTATGATCACGTAGTGCATCAAAGCCTATTCTCAGCAAGTCATAAATATTCAGCTCAGGAAAGCTTTCAATCTCATTTAATTGAGATTCCCAGAAATATCTTTCTCTGCCAAATAAGAAGGAACCCAAAACTTGAAGAGCTAATGGGTTCCCTTTGGCATAATTTATTGCCTTGATTGACAACTCCATATAAGCTTTTGGGGGGTGGTTTCCCTTAAAAGCATTCAAGCTAAAAAGTTGAACAGCTTCGTGGGAATTTAATTCCTCAACCTCGTATATTTCATCAACTACATTCTTAAGTACTTGCTTGTCTCTTGATGTGATAACAACAACGCTTCCTTCACCAAACGAGCGCTCTTCAATTAAATGCTGGAATTGTCGTACATCATTCACATCATCCAAAACAAGGAGAACTTTCTTGTGGCAGAGTCTATCCCAGGTGAAAGTAGGTATATGTGGTGTGCCAACGCGAAGATTTTCTTCCTCCAGTAGTTTAGAAAGAAGTTCATCTCGTAGATCATTTAATCGACCCTTCTCTGATTCCTGCCTTATGTTCGGAACAAAGTGGTGGCCTTCATATTGACTTGAGAAGTTATCGTAGAAAGCTCCCGCGATAGTTGTCTTGCCAATACCACCCATGCCCCAAATTCCTATTGAGCGGACATCAGATGGCACAATAGATAGTAATTTGTTGATTTGCTCAATACGTGAATCTACTCCAACCAGACCTCTTAATTTGCTTGGGGATGCATCATTTAACCTTTTCCAGATAGTTTGCACAACTTCTCTCACTAATTTGGACTCCGGACTGCAAAAAATGAAATGGGTGAATGTAAGTAATGTATCTTACACAGCATCTTTAGCTCAAATTGTGTCGAAGGTGAGGTTTCCATTAAGGTGAATGTAAGTAATGTAAGGGAGTGATTTTTTTTTTTATTATAAGAAAATGTTGTCAAAGGTGAGGTTTCCATTAAGGTGGAAGTCCATTGGCTGTTGATGGAAGTTAGTTTTCCACAAAAAAACAGAACAGACTTGTGCCTTTTCAAGCAACAAGTACTATGAACTAAGAAGCACAAATGATTTACCGGAGAAAAAAAAAACTATAATATGCACAAGAAATTTTAATTTCTATAATTTCAGGAAAAAAAAAGTTGAAGATGAGAATCTATAGTTACCTAGTAACCTGTGAATCCCATCCAGATATACTGGCTGCATATGTCAAGCCAGCCCTCCACCGTGGCACCCTGTCCATCTTCCCCTTGAAATTTTTTTCAAGCTCGGCAAATGCATTTTCAAAACTCCCAGTCTGTTCATCAACTTCAGATGGGTCCACATGATAGAAGACCGGTAAAACAATCTGCCCATAAGTCTCTTTGCATTCAAGTATTTTCACCAGTTCATCCACACACCACGGAGAAGATGCATAGTTCCTGGAGAAAATTACCACAGAAATTCTTGATTCTTCAATCGTTTTCAGAAGGGCAGGGGTAATTTCTTCTCCTCTTTCAAGCCCATCATCAATGAAGGTCTTGATTTTCTTACGACACAAAGCATCATAGAGATGGCTGGTAAAATTATTGCGCGTATCCTTGCCTCTAAAACTAAGGAACACATCATGCTTCCATTTATGAGCAACAGCAGATGAAGATGCCATATCAGACAGTTACAAGATCGTGTCTTCCTCAATCACTAAGGATCGAAATAAGTAAGTGCTCTCCTTTTTCTCCTAAAGACATACAAAGAGCACCCATTTCAACAGCTGAACATTCATTAAGAGAAATTTAAGTCTAAGAGTACAAGAACGCACACAACATATATTTATCAGAAAATTCCTCAAACTCTTAACGATGGATATGATCTATCTTAATTTGATCACTCGTCACTTGCTACCAATGCTAGTTTGCTATTACTTCCATTGCAAGAACAGTCACTAGCGGAGCAAAAAGAATTACAGATGGAAGAATTAATACGTTCATGAATCAAACTTATCGAACTCGTATATATAATCTTAAATATAGAAGACAGCATGAACCAGAAAGACTTACCAACAGATCATAAGAACAGTTGACTTGTGTTTTGCATCAGCAAGACGAAGAAGAAGCTGCAGAGTGTTGATGATAAGAGACGATTTTTCTTGTCTATTGCCTTCTCCTTCTCCTTCAAGTAAATACTTACAGAAAATCTGATCTCATCGTTATAATCTAAATGTAATATCATATATTAATCAAGAAACAGGTGAATGTGAAAAGACTTTGGGATCAATACCAAATACATTGGCCAATGGACTTGTCAATGGCAACGGTCTGAATCTGTTAAATTTAAATAAGCAATAATTACAATATTGCCTTTCTTGAGTTAATGGACAGCGATTAACCTCTCTTAAATATTTGGATGCGTATGTGTTTTATATATATTTTTTTAAAATCAATGGAGGTTGGTCGAGAACTCCAATTTCTTCGGCCTTGATATAATTGGAAGGACCCTATCTTTTTTTAAAATTTGCAAAGTCAACTCTGCCTTGCATCAGCTAAAAGTCAACACGTTAAAAGGGGTTTAATATAATACTTTTTTTTAAGAAAAAAAAGAAGTTTGTCTGGCTAGGCAAGGAAAGTTTCTTCGGGGGCTTTGTTAATCTTGATTAATAAATAACTAGCTCTCATTAATCTGGGGTTGTGATATGCACACTCTTTGACTTGCACCACAAGAAAACCATCACTGTATTTTTTTACCTTTTGGATTCAACCCATAGGCAATGACTTTGTCTTTTACAAATTTAATAATTGTCACATTCGAATGTTCAATCCCAGTCATTACCTAACCCAAGGGATCTTAGCCTAACCGAGCTTCGTAGAGTTTAACCGAACCTGGCTAAGGGAATAGAGAGAAAGGAAGGAGAGCTCGATTGGGCAAAGACGTAACCCAATTGGGGGGCCTATATATATTTATAGTATTACCACTACCATTTATTTTAATTTACTATGAAATTTTGTAACCTTCTCCAATTTCCACAACAGAGGATCTAAAGAGTTTTATTATTTGTATGATGATACTCATATTATACTTGGATCTATCTTACAAAATATTATCCGAGTTCTCTTAAATTTTTAACCTAGTTCAAACTCAATTTTCCTAATCTATTAATTTTTTTCGTATAGATAATGTAATGGAGTGCTATAAGGATAGTGTTTTCCTAAAAAAAAACATTTTCTCAAAATGGTATAGTTCTGTAATGCTCTCGTGTCCATGAACTTATGAACATAGCGGGCATGCAATAATACTATAAGGAATGTTTATAGGAGAAGTTTCTCTAATAGCTATGTGCTATATCACTCGTGTTCACTGATTTGTTATTGTAATATCTTCCCGTATAGGTTGCACTGCATGATATATTACGGCCTTCTATTAAGAATAATCTCACACTACTCTGAATTGAGGATATTGCATCGCCAGTATAGTCCTATTCACAACCTTCTGGATTTCATGATTTTCAGTATTGCCACGTTATACAAGATTAAGTACGCTAGTACGTAAATTCTAAGGGGGTGTAGTTCAACCACTCACATCCTGAATTTATTTTTTAAAAATTAATAATTTGAATTATATAAACTTTAAAATTACTAAAATATTATAGGATCATTAATTTTAAGATCTTAAAAAATTAATTGAAATATACATAAATTAACCAAACATCTATAATTACACAGTATGAAAGCAATGAAAGGCGAAGATTTTTATCTTCTTTTTTGGCTTCCGCTGTCTACTTGTGGGATGGAACCCTTTATGTAAACAGATTTGCAGAATCTGATTATATCCATGTTAATTTTCTTGGTGAGGCCAAATTAGCAAAGTCAACTCTGCTTTGCATCGGCTAAAAGTGAACACGTTAAAAGGGGTTAAAAAAAAAAAGAAGTTTGGCTGGATGTGAAGAGAAGATTCTTTGAGGGCTTTGTTAATCTTGATTACTAAATAACTATGTCTTATTAATCTGCCATTGTGATAGGCTGTTTTTTATCCAATTATAAAGAAAAACTTGTTTAGTTAATAAAAATTGTTCCTAAATATAATTATATTTCAAATATTGATTTTCTAAAATAATTTATTTTTTATTCAGAGATACTTGTTTGTCATTTATTTTATATGTAAAAATCTATTTTATATTAGTTTTAATCAAATATATATTTTTTAAATCTATATTTTTAAAACTGCATCTAAAAGTATTTTTTCTTAAATTTATTTTTTCTTTAAATTGTAACCGTAAAAACCTACACGTTAAATAACTCTCCCTTTCTTTGTTTTTTTAATTAAATCTCGAGGACTATTTCGAAATTGGATCAAAATTTAATCAAGGTTTGTTGTTCTATTTAATATAATTAAAAAGAAAAGGAGAAAAATATAATTGACTTTCTTGTACTATCTTACTGAAAACTATTGTTGGCTTTCTTGCATATAACGCAATAATGCTTTGTAGTTTGATATAAAGGTCCAAAACAAAGCTGCTTTTTAGGTTGATCCAATGGAGTTCTGTAAGTAAATTACAGGAGTAAGTTGGATGGGAATTATTTGAAATCAAATTAAAAACTGAAATGCAAATGCTATTTTGTTTTATGAGAAAACAAAAGCCTACAACCCATTTGAACTTGCATTGTCTTTTGGACTAAACAGGAAAAAAAAAATCCTCGTGATAAACAAAACCCAGTAAGCTAGAAGCAACAGACTGATGGTTTTGCGAGGGAGAAAAATGAAATTTGATGAAGTTCTCCCATTCTCCTTTACCCTTGTTGTCTTAACTCCATTATTGCCCTAAAATAACTTACCTTTAGAGTGATGATTTATGTAGACATTGCCCTGGAAATTAAAAAGTAAAAAAGGTTTAGTGATTAGAAGGTGTGGAGATTTCATCAACTACATTCGTAAGTACTTGCCCGTCTCTTGATGTTACAACAACAACCCTCCCTGCACCAATAAAAGGTACTTCAATTAAATGCTGGAATTGTCGTACATCATTCACATCATCCAAAACAAGGAGAACTTTCTTTTGGCAGAGTCTATCCCTGATGAAAGATGGTATATGTGGTGTGCCAACGCGAAGATTTTCTTCCTCCAGTAATTTTGAAAGAAGTTCATCTCGTAGATCATTTAAATCCTTGTCTGATTCCTGCCTTATGTTCGGAAGAAAGTGGCAGCCTTCATGTTGATGACTTGAGATGCTATTGTAGAAAGCTTCCGCAATAGTTGTCTTGCCTATACCACCCATGCCCCAAATTCCTATAATGCGGACATCTGATGACACAATAGATAGTGATTTGTTGATTTGCTCAATGCGTGAATCTACACCAACAAGACCTCTTAATTTGCTTGGGGATGCACGATTTAACCTTTTCCAGATAGTTTGCACAACTTCTCTTACTAGTTTGGCCTCCGGACTACAAAAAAATGAAAGAAGCATCTTTAACTCAAATTGTATCTTTACGTCGAATAAAAAATCTATAAGAAACACAGAACGGACTTGTGCCTTTTCAAGCAACAAGTACCATGAACTAAGAAGCACAAATGATTTACTGGGGAAAAAAAGGTTGAAGATGAGAATCTGTAGTTACCTAGTAACCTATGAATCCCATCCAGATATACTGGCTGGGTATGTCAAGTCAGCCCTCCACCTTGGCACCTTGTCCATCTTCCCCTTAAAAAGTTTTTCAAGCTCAGCAAATGCATCTCCAAAACTCCCAGTCTGTTCATCAACGTCAGATGGGTCCACATGATAGAAGATTGGTAAAACAATCTGCCCATAAGTCTCTTTGCATTCAAGTATTTTCTCCAGTTCATCCACACACCACGGGAGATGCATAGTTCTTGGAGAAAATTACCACAGAAATTCTTGATTCTTCAATCGTTTTCAGAAGGGCAGGGGTAATTTCTTCTCCTCTTTCAAGTCCATCATCAATGAAAGTCTTGATTTTCTTACGACACAATGCATCATAGAGACGGCAGGGAAAATTATTGCGCGTATCCTAGCCTTTAAAACTAAGGAACACATCATACTCCATTTATGAGCAACAGCAGATGAAGATGCCATATCAGGCAGTTACAAGATCGTGTCTTCCTCAATCACTAAGAATCGAAATCAATAAGTGCTCTCCTTTTTCTCCTAAAGACATACAAAGAGCACTCCACTTCAACAGCTGAACATTCGTTAAAAGAAATTGAAGTCTAATAGTACAAGAACCCACACAACTTATATTTATCAGAAAATTCCTCTAACTCTTAACGATGGATATATACTAGCTTAATTTGATATAATCAATCTTAACATGATCACTCGTCACTTGCTACCAATGCTAGCTTGCTATTACTTTCATTGCAAGAACAGTCACTAGCTGAGACAAAAGAGTTACAGGTGGAAGAATTAATACGTTCATTAAACAAACTTATCAAACTCGTATGTATAATCTTAAATAAAGAAGACGCATGAACCAGAAAGACTTACCAACAGATCAAGAACAGTTGACTTGTGTTTTCCATCAGCACCTAATACAAAGAAGAAGCTGAATATTGTTGATGATGAGAGACGATTTTTCTTGTCTATTGCCTTCTCCTACTCCTTCAAGTATTTTTCTTGTCTATTGCCTTCTCCTACTCCTTCAAGTAAATTCTTACAGACAATCTAATCTCACCGTTATCTAAATGAAAGATTGTTTGATCAAGAAATATGTGAATGTGAGAAGACTTTGGGGTCAATACCAATTATTGATCAAGAAACAGGTGTGTGTGAGAAGACTTTGGAGTCAATACCATATACTTCGGCCAATGGACTTGCCAATAGCAACGGTACCCTGTCAAATGGATGGGCTTCCTAAAGCTACTTGTTTGGGTCTTCCAAATCAAAATCTGAACCTTTTTAAAGTCTAATAAGTAAAAAAATGCCTAGCATGATTACTTCCTGTTAATGAAATGAATCGTACTGTTTTTTTTAAGTTAACTGGTTATTATGATATATGCTCCATGTGTAATTCGTATTATTTTCATATTTAGATTAACGAAGTACTAATGAAAAAGACTATTTAAAAACATATACCAACATTGTAAAAATATATATTATATAATTGATGATAAAATAATGTTCATTTCAGCTGGTAATTCCACTAAATAACTTGCATCATCTAATTTTATAATTTAATTTAATTTTTATTTTCAAAGCAATTGATCCTTTAATATTGCTTTACTTTATGATTAGTCCTGGTTATTTGTTTTTCATGCATATGCATGAGATTCTAGATGTGTCGCGGAAATTTTTAATCTTTTTGTTAAAGCTTAGTTTGGGAAAGAAAAAATCAATTTTATTAATTTTAAATAATTATAACTTAAATAACCAAATTTGAACATTAAAGAAATATTTAGTCTTTTCTGTCAAAATTAGGGTTTGATTTGTAATGTTAGGGTGGTGTTCATGTCCTAATTTTTATTTTGATCCCTTAACTCTTTTTTTATTTATTTGATATCTTCACATGGGCTTTATTTGAGAATGACTTTGTAGTTTGTTTTAGATGCCATATATAATATAGGGATCTTACACTATTGGAAAAAAAATTATGAAACTTAGTTGATTCTTGGTTTTGATGAGTAAAATAAAATTCAGCTAATATAGAACTATTAAGTGTTTAAGGACTAAAATTAAAAATAAAACAAATATAAAAAGTTAGTAAACACGTAGGATAAATAGGTTGTGGTGTGTAGCACACGTACTAATGTTAGAGAGATATTAATTATGTCTATTTATGTTTTTTTGCATGAACACACTAAAGAAATTGCCCCTTTTTTTATTTTTATGACTTTGGGCATTTATCACAGGCTGATAAAAGAGAAAAGAGGAGTTCTGGTAACTGATTCTGGAATTCCAGAGGTAAAGTCATCATCTATTCTCAATGGGGTTTAGCTAGAAGCCTCGAGCAAAACAAGTGGTATTGTTGCACCAGCAGCAAAGAGTAGCGCTTCATGGGATGAGGATTGGGGACCTGTCTCAAAAGTATCTTTCACTGCACACCGGACTTCAGCAAGCAACTCATCACCCGCTCCATCTATTTCAGCTAATCAACAAGTTCAACTAGCATTTTTGCAATCAGAATCTTCCATGACATCTGCAGTATCCAGTACGCAGTCAGCCATATCATGGCCTCCGGTTGATATAGAATGGCCTCCAAAGACATCTTCAACTATTATTCCTCGGCTAGATGATGGGGGAGAGGAGGGGGGCTAATCTGATTTTATAGGTTCAGCTTTATGTGAAGCCATTACCAAAGCCTTGCTGGTTATTTATATAAAAAAAAAATAGTAAGGCCCTTTTTTTATATTGTGCAAGTTCAATATTTCCCTTCTATAGTTCTTTTCTGACATGTGCTCTATGAAAGCTACATTTGTAATCTATTTTGCTTTTAAATCTTGTAAATGACTAATTAAATTTTGCTTCGAGTAGGCAGCGCATAATTATTTTTGTTTTTGCTATGAATAAGGTAACTAAAATGCATAAAAATACGCAAGAATAAGGCAATCAAATTAAAAGCAACATTTCATTCATTCAAGCTCTGACATGAAAAAATGTGAACATGGATGATCCATATCTTGCAACACCTTCCATCTACTTCACTACCCCTACATATCTATCTGGTGCACCTATGATTGTTCTACTAATCCTTCTCTCACTAGCCTTAGTGAAATTATTGACTAATTCATCTTATTAGACTGTTGAGCAATGACACAGCTTGTTGATGGGTTTTAAGATAAAAAAAATCTAGTATCCATCATAATATGAGTCCATGCCTTCAGCCAAGATCTGCCAAACCAATCCACCACTAATTGTTCCTTCATTTCTTGCAAAGTCGTAGATGCTTGTATAGACTGTATCAAGAAAGAATCCCTCACACTTGTATTGTATCCTGGATCTTTATTTAATTTCCCAAACTCAGCAAACACCAATGGCTTCTTCAATGTGGTTTTCACTATAAGATTTCATAACTTTATCAATGGAAATATTATGTTAGAGTGTGATTACCAGTTCGTCAGTTATTTATTTTTCGACGTCTTCATCGATGGAATACATTCGTCGGCTTTCCTCTTATTGGTAATTTCATATTCCGTCGCTATATCAGTCGGAGAAACAAAAAAAAAATTTGTCAATGGTTTTACAAATGGAATTTGCAAGCCAACATTTCCAGCCCGAAATATACCGACGGATTTTACTCCGTTAGTGATATTGTGTTTAACTGACAGAACCAATTCGTCAGTAAATGTGTTGGTGAGAGTTTTGAATTACCGACCAAAATATTTGTCTTTAAATTCATCAGTAATTGTGGTAGCTACTATCAAATGCTGACGGAATGAATCCGTCGGTAAATCTATCAGTGAATGTGGCAATCAAATGCCGACGGATTCATGTCGTTGGTAAAAGCCTTTCTAGTACTTTTTCCTAAATATGTTTTTAAAAAATTATTTAGAATACATAATATAAAATTATACAAATTAATGGTAATTAACCAATTATGCAAATAAAATTCATATGAAACATCAAAAGCAAAAAATCAAAGTTAAATAATATTCATTACAAATAATGTATTTCAAAAAAAAAATTAAATGAAATTTTAAAGGTAAATAATGTTTATTACAAATTAATATAAAAGTGAAGCTAGAGGAGGAGGAGATCCTAGAGGAGGAGGCTAGTGGTTATACAGCCAAAAAGGATTAGGCGCACATGTTCCACTTTGTGTTGCAATGTTTATGATCATTTTGCCAAGCTGTTCATAAGCCACCTTTTATTGTTCATACTCCGCTCTTTATTGTGCTTGAGATGCTTTGAGTTGTTCAAACTCCGCTCTTTATTGTGTATAAGACTCTTTGAGTTGTGTGTACTCCGCTGATAGGTGGTCGTATTTTTCGGTGAGTTAAGTCGTGTGTTGCTACAAGGCCACGAACTCCTTAGATTGGGAGCTCCCAACTATTGAAACACTACTGTCCGACTACAAGTTGTCGATTTTAGTGTTGAAGAGCCCGTAAATCCTATTTTTATCAGGTCCACCTGACAATTCAACCTCCATCCATAAATCCAGATCAAATTTTGGATGGGTCAAAATATCATCCTCGTATTTCTCCCTCAACCAATTATTATAGGTCTCCTGAAAATAAAAAAAAAATTAATCATCATATTCAATTCCATAAACATAATAACTTACAAAATAAAATGGTTGAATAAACATAC